TGAATAGATAAAGAATAACGAACTATTCAACCATCGAAGGATTGCAATAGAAGTAAATTATCATATTCGATAAAGAATACGTTTTTTTATCGAATAATAATTCACGAATTATAAAAAATATATACTTATAGAAGAAATTATGCACGTACTACATAACGAAAAAATCACACACCTCAAGAAGAAATGGAGTTTCTAATAACTAACGGATATCGATAGTACAATGACGCGCCACGTCATTATTTCGATTATCGAATTAGAAAATCGTAGTGGAAGGGGTAGGGGAAGGGGAAGGGGGTGTGCGAAGAGGATATGCGCGCGCGGCAAGTCGAAACCTGTCGAAACCTGTCGAAACATGTCGAGCGTGACAAAAAACGCGAATGCTCAAATTCTTGGAAAAGCGATATTATGAAAACAAATAATGAACCTCAAGCATTAAACAAAAAAGAAAAAATATATAAACATTACAGAGAAACGTGTTTAGAAATGAAATACGATATGAAATACATATCATAGATATAATACGTATTATACGAATATAATAAAATAAAATTGATTTTATGTATTCATTTCAATAAATAAAATGATAAAAAGATTATAGAAACTTATTCTAAATTTATTTAAATAAATCTACATTTTAATAAATCTTACATTTATTTAAAACATTTATTTAAATAAATTTATTCGATATATTTAAAAGATTTTTTATTATATTATTTTATTTATTATTTATTATTATATTTTTTATTATATTATTTATTATTAACATCAAAATTATCAATTATAAATCGTCATAATATGATAATTATTATACTATATTACGAGCCATTTTTCCTTCTAAGCTATCGCAACAATCGAACGAATGAATTTCTCAAAATCGTAAAAAAAAATAAATAAAACTGTATAAAAATGTATAAAAAAAGAACTATATTAAGACGAAGCAACAAGTGAGTTCGATTCAATGAAAGTACGAAATACCGGTAATCTCGACGGAAATGATTGAGAAAAAACACAAAGAAATTCAAAATATTAATTAATTTCGATATTTCAATAATAAATAAATTATTAAATAAACGAAAATAATAATAATTTATAAATTTGATAATAGAATATGATTAAAATTATTTATTGCGTAGTAGAATTTTCGAAGTCGATTGCGACGACGCGTCTTCTCATAATCGAACGAATGAATTTCTCAAAATTGTAAAAAAACAAGAAAAAAGAATATATGAAAGAATTATATTAAGATGACGCAATAAGTGAACTCGAATCGCGATTCAACGAAGACACGAAATACCGGTAATCTTGACGGAAATGATCGACGAAAAAAACGCAAAGAAATTCAAAATACTAATTAATTTTTACATTTCAATAATAAATAAATTACTAAATAAACGAAAATGATAATAATTTATGAATTTAACGATAAAATATGATTAAAATTACTTACTGCGTAGTAGAATTTTCGAAGCCGGTTGCGATCACACGTCCTCCCACAATGACTTTCCACAATAGACTGACGCCACCCGCCAAAATTTTCTTACCAGCTTTCTGATTGGCTGACGTTTTACGTTACTTTCGATAATCGAAATTGCAAAGAAAATTGTATAATATATTTTATTTATTCTAATTAATAATATTAAAAGTGAAATATTAATATATTTATGTATTATTAAATTTTAATTTATTATTTATTTATTTCATTCATATATTTATACGTTTTTTTATTAATTTATTTATTTGTTTCTTTATTTATCGATTATCGATTTATCGAATTTATTTATTGAATTATTTATTTTTTTAATGATTTATTTCTAGACTTTTTTTATCAATTTTTTTAAATTGATTATTATTATTTATTATTATTTATATATACATGAAATTATTTATTTATTAATTTACCATTTTATATATAATTATTTATAAATTTATTTCTGCATAATATAATTGTTTATATACTTATTTGTCCATTTGTCCACTTGTCCAATAATGTATTCATAGATATTTTATTGATTTTTCATTCAATTTATATATAAATTTATTTAGTTATTTATTTACTTATTTATTATTTGATTATTTCTTCATTTATTTATTCATTTAGTCAATAACTTATTTGTAAATTTCATTGTTATATTAAATTTACATTAATAAATTTATATAAAATATTCATGTAGACATTTCATTTATTTATTTATTTATTTAATTTATTTATTTTTTTATATATTTTGTTTTATATATTTGCTCATTCTATTATTTATTAATTTACTAACTCTTATTTACTCATTTGTTTAATAATTTTCTTAAACATTTTTATTTTGTTCACTTATATACACATGTTATTATTTATTAATTATTTTTACATTTATTTAATTCTTTATATATTTATTCATTTATTTGATTACTGATTAATTTGTAAATTATTTTTATTTATTAATAAATTTATCAATTTATTAATTTAATAATAGTTTTATGTATTTAGTTATTTATATATTTTTTAATTCATTTGTCTATTGATTTATTTGTAATCATTTTTATTTTTATTTGTATATCAATATATTTATTTATTTATTCTTTTATTTATTTAATGATCTATTTATTTATTTACATATTTGTTTAATAGTATATTTGTAAATTTTTTTTTTGTTTATTTAAATGTATTTAATTTGCTTATTTATTAATTTATTTATATATTCATTCCTGCATTTAAATAATAATTTAGATATATTCATTCTTTCATTTTATAATGATTATTTATACAATTTTCTATTTTGTTTGTTTATATATGGATTGAATTATTTATTTACTTCTATATTTATTCTGTTAATTATATATTTTAGTATTAAATAACATAATTTAGTATTTTGTTATTTAATCATTTGAATTAATTGTACATTTTTTTAAATATCCTTATTATATTAATTATGCATCAGTTTATTTATTTATATAATTAATTATTTAAACATAGACACTTTTTAATGATATAAATGCACAAAAGAGATTATAAAGTTATCTACAAATGAAGAAGTAAAAAAATAAATAATTTGGATATATAAATCAACAAAACAAGAAAATCTATAGAGTCTACAGATTTTTTATACAAATTTAAATTTACAAATAAGTCATTAAACAAATGAGTAAATAAGTATATAAATAACTGAATAAATTAATACAAGAATAAATAAATATTTTAATCCATATAAAAATGGACAAAATAAAAAATATACAAATAAATCAATAGACAAATGAATAAATACAAGAATAAATAAGTATATAAAAAAATGGATGAATAAAGAAATAAATAATTCAGTATAAACATAAATGAACAAAACAAAATAGTTTGTTATATGTTTCTCAGATTTTTTAGTTTCCAAAAAGATATTAGAATAAATACATCAATAAATAATTAATAATTAAAGAAATACATAAATAGATAAACAAAGAAATAAATAAAGACAAAATTTGATAGATATATTGATAAACAAATTAAAGAAGATTACAAATAAGTCTGTAGACTGAAAAATAGGTTATTAAATATATAATAAATAAATAAATAAATACAGATGCATTCATAAATGAAAAATGCAAAAAATTGTTTATAAATTATTCAATAATCAAATAAATGAATAAATATATAAATAATTAAATAAATGAAAGAATAAATAAATAAATATATCAATGCATACATAAATGTACAAAGTAAAAAACTTACAAAAAAATCCAAATCAGTTATTACACAAACAAGTAAATAAATTAATAGAGGAATAAATAATTACTTTAATGCATATAAACATAAGCAAAATAAAAAATATACAAACAAATCAATAGATAAATGAATAAATATATAAAAGAATGGATGAATAAAGAAATAAATAAATCAGTATAAACATAAATGAAGAAAACAAAATAGTTTGTTATATTTTTCTCAGATTTTTTAGTTTTCAAAAAGATATTAAAATAAATATATCAATGAATAATTAATAATTAAAGAAATACATAAGTAGATAAACAAAGAAATAAATAAAAAAAAAATTTAATAGATATATTGATAAACAAATTAAAGAAGATTACAAATAAGTCTGTAGACTGAAAAATAGGTTATTAAATATATAATAAATAAATAAATAAATACATAAAAATGTTAATAAATAGATAAAAATGCATTCATAAATAAAAAGTGCAAAAAACTGTTTATAAATTATTCAATAATCAAATAAATGAATAAATATATAAATAATTAAATAAATGAAAGAATAAATAAATAAATATATCAATGCATACATAAATGTACAAAGTAAAAAACTTACAAAAAAATTCAAATAATTATTAAACAAACAAGTGAATAAATTAATATACGAATAAATAAATACTTAAATGCATACATAAATGAATAAAATAAAAATGTCTATAAAAGTGTCTGCAGATAAATCAATAAATAAATAAATGTGCAAATATATAAAACAAAATATATATGAGGAAGTAAATAAATAAATAAATGAAATGTCTACATGGATATTTTAATATAAATTTAATATAACAATGAAATCTACAAATATATTATTCATTAAATGAATAAATAAATATAGAAATAATCAAATAAATAAATAACTAAATAAATTTATATATAAATTCAATCAATAAGACAAGAAAATCTATAAATTTCTATGAATATATCATTGGCAAAATGGACAAATAAGTATATAAACAATTATGTTATGCAGAAATAAATTGATAAATAATTATATACAAAATTATTAAATAAATATATAAATATACTATATATTTATTTATATATAATAT